CACGTATGCCTTCATTAGTGGGGAGAGTCCAGTGCCGCCTGTCGACTGCCTGGCTGTTTTCCCTGCGAGGTGGGGAGCCAGCCCACTCACCCGCCCGCCACCCTGCCACTCACCCACACCGCAGCGCCCAGCTGCTTCCCCAGGGTCGCAGACACCATGCCCGGCGCCGTCCGCCCCGTGGTCCCGCTGCCGGCCGCGCCGACACTGCCGTGCGTGTGGTGCAGCAGCTGGTGCGGACTGGGCGGCGCTGCCAGCTGCGCCATGATGTGCGGCCGCAGCTCCAGCTCCCTAACAGCCTCCATACAGAGCCGAGCGGGTATCCAACCCACGCTTCGAACCAGTCCAGGCAGCGACAGCGCGCCTGCGGCCGAAACAAGTGAATGAGCACCCACACAGTAAGAAATATACATTCCTACATATACATTGCTACATATACGTTCCTAAGACATTCCTGTCGTCCGTCGTTTCCATGGCATCCGTAAAACAACGAAGGCCAGAATCAACAAACAGTAACGTTTCAAGCGATCAAAGTGACGGGGCCCAAGGGCTCGCGGGTTGGGTCGGGGCCGGGAGGAATACGCTACTGGGGGATATACCGCCAGCAAGTCAGGGCTACGGTAGGAGAAAGCGATGGCTAGGGGGTCCCCCTGGTCATAACTCACCCTGATGCAACGCCTCACAGGCGCTTCTCCATGCCACTAGCAGCCCCGCCGCTGCGTCCTTCCTCACCCCAATCTTGAGGTCACGGAGCCGCATTCCCACATTTTGCAGTACAGTGTCCAGGTCGTTATCGTACAGCACTGGTGGCGTAGCCGCCGCCGCGGCCAACTGCCCCCCAGAGCCCCAGCCGGGCGGCGCCTGTCCAGCGATGGCGGCGGCCGCAAGGCTGCATAAGCCCCGGCAAGCCGCTGCCCGCACCTTGTCATCAAAGTCATGCAGCCTGTCACGCGCGGCGGTCAGAACCTGTGCGTTCGGATGCGGGGGAGTCCAGTGCAATCTCAATCTCCATTCCATTGAATTAATCTATTTCATTTGGCGCTGCAGCGCTCAACGGAGGAGTGGGGGCAACAAGCGAGGAACTGAGACGTGCTATGAACCCCAAGGGCAAAAAGGAGCATTCGTGGCGGGGACCCGCATCGCACGTAGGCGCTCGGTACAGGCCGATGCGCCGTGCACACGGACAGGAAGGCTCGATGCGGACCGATTTGCCACGCGTACAGACACGCCGACACGCGCCGCCGGAATCCGTCCAAGCGTGTGGATTTACCAGGATGGGCGCCCGGCGTCAGCCCACATGGGCCGCTCGACGTTCCCTTCACGCACAAACAATCAAGCAATCGCACCTGACGCTCCAGCGCACCATCGGGCTGTGCCGCCGCCGCCACAGCTGCCATCTGACCCGTGCGTAACAGCATCTGCTGCCGCAGCGACGACGACTGGTCAGCGAAGCGCGACAGCAGCTCCTGTGTACGGGAACGATCATGTCGACCCACGACAGCAGAATGAGTAAAGAGAAAGGATGGGGTAACGCGAGGCGGGTGAGCTCCTAATGCGTAAAAGCCAGAGGACAAGGAGGACTTCATCTTTACGATTAGTTAATGTGAACCGACGCAAACCGACTCCGCAAATCTGACCCCGTTACGGGCTTTTACCTGGAAGAGATCGGGGTACTGCGTCGCCAGCGATGCCACTGCCGCACCCGTCCCCGGTGCACCGGAGGCCAGGCCCATGGACGATGTCTGCTGCTGGAGTGCCGCCACCGCCGCCGCCGGTGGCGGAGCCGCCATGAGGCGCATGACCAGCTCCGCCGCAGCGGCGCGGTGGCTGTCTTCCTCATGCCGCAGCTGCGCCTTGAGCTCGGGGACCACGGGAAGCAGCAGTAGCGGAGCCGAGGTGCGAAGCTGTACATGAAGTATTGGGTGGTGGGGGTGTTCAGCGAGAAGCTGGCAGCCAACATTCATAAAGTCCATGAAGCAGTGTGAGCAAGGATGTGATTGTCCCTATTAAATTGGATAGCTGGCAATCCGTGTTCTGTGTGCAGATAGACCAGCAACCAAACAGCGACGGAGTGTGCGTGTCCAGGGAGGATTGAGGGACCTGAAACTGACCCACAGATCGCCTGCACATAAAACACAAGCCAGCGAATCAGCTCCTCATTGACACAACGATGCTCCTTACCCCATTGAGGAGCGTGAACGTATCGCACGGCGCGCCTTCGGCAACCACCCTGCTGGCTGCAGCCGCAACCTTCTTCCCGCCCCGGGCCCCACCACCGGCCGCAGCGCCCCCAGCTGCGGCGTTGGCATCGTCCTGCAGGCTTTTGCGCACGATGAACAGCACCTGCCGCTGTAGTGCGCCCCGCAGGGCACTGTCCCGGGAGGTTAGGAGCTGCGTCGCCAACCTGCATGTAGAGGGTGAGCAGTGGATGGCATGACGCGTGTCAGTGCGTGGCCCCTCGACCCCACGCACCACAACCCCTGCTGGGGCCCCACCGCGTGCGTCACGTCAGCATAGGTCATGATGGTAGTAGATTCGGTACATGAGTTTGGCCATATAGATTGCGATGTTACTTTTTTGAACATGATAAAGAAGCATTAGCGACCCCTTTAGTGACCCCTCTACTCCTCACGGTGCCCATCCCTGTCAAAGCACTCTGCGCAAAGCCGCCATTCGAATGCTCACCCTCCTCTGGCGCCCTGATTTTGGACCCCCATGTCGAAAGTTGTTGTCAATAATTGCATTTCCCATGTCTTTCAGCATAAGGTGTGGATAGACGCAAAACCAGCCTTTAGAGAAACATATAAGCGACGTGCGCTGCCCTCATCGCGAGCCGCCGCTTACCGCTGCACAGCAACCGTGTATTGCGCCTCCGCCGCTGGCGGCGTGGCCTTGCCGCGGGTGCCCCCAGCTGCTGGGCCGCCCGCAACGGCTGGGCACGCCAGCGCCGCCAGCACCAGGTCACACAGCTCCTGGGGGGGCTGACCCAGCTCCTCCAAGATGCCACTCAAGACCGCCAACAGGGGGCCCTCCAGGGCCTGCAGGTTTTCCGGCCTGATGTGACCCACATCCACAGTGAGCCGCATTGGCCACGTGTAATACATTGCGGGAAGTGGGGTGCATTGCGAATTCGGAAAAGGCAACAAGGCAATGGGCCGCAGTGCCCCGAGGAACTCAACGGGGACAAGAAAGGGCTGCCTTTTTAAACCCAGATTCCAAGAACCAATGAGATCTTGAGGCGGCGGCCAAGTTGGATCCAACGACAGCTGCGAGCGACAATCAAAGAAGCTGGCGCAGGGTCGCCGTGAAGCTGTAACCTCCTCACTAGCTCCCGGCTCATGCTCCCCTACCCGGCTTTCGAACCCCTCCTCCTCCCGGCTCACACGCTTTGTGACCAGGAAAAAGCTGCGATGCCACTTACCCTAAGCCCCCCTTGTAAGAGCACGGCAACTGCTGCCCTATCAGCTACATGTACATTGCCTTGGTACGTATTGCTCCTGGAGGGAATTTCGTGTCCGCGTCCTTCGGCTCACGTTCAGCTCGCCAGTCCGCTGCTTTCCCTCTTCCGCATGCGGGCCTGGCTGTTTCCCCGCCCTCTTAACACCGGGCCTGGTTCGTCTTCACCCCCTTAACACTGGGCCTGGTTGCTCATTTGCAAAGCTCACCCCCAACCGCATGCGTTGGAGGACTCACCGTGCTGCTTGCAGTAGAGTTCGAAATGTCCTGGGCACCAGCTCTGCGTCCTCCAGGTCCAGCATGAGGATGAAGAACTTGACCTGGCGGACAGAAAGGAGGTCAGCGGCTTGGGTGGGGCGAGGAGTGCTACATGTCTACGGACCAAAGCGTGCAGCATCCAGCGGAAAGCTTTGCATCAAGCGCTACTCATCACAGGCATGGCATTCTTTCGGCAATTTACTCTGGGAAGCCTTAAGCACACCTTCACGTTAGATTGGACGTGGTGGGGAATAAATGATGGAGTCGTTACGGTGAAGGTCACATACGGAATGAATTGACACGATGTACTGTTTGGTTGACGGAACTACTTGGTTCACAGCTCCTCGCACGCCGTCCTGGCTAAAATTAAGAAACAGAGAATCTGACCCGTACATGAGCCGAACACGGGATGTTTATAGGCTATAGGGGTGTAGGGCATCTCCCAGCGCTCGGGACGAAAGGGAAACGGACGGTGCACAAGCACTCACATCAGCAAAGATCTTGAGCGTCGCGTGGCAGAGCTCGAACGCCTCCGGTTCGCCCGTATCCGCCAGTTGGGTCCAGCAGGTAAGCAGCAGCTCAAACACCTCCTGGGGTGATGCCGTGTTGGCGAGCGCGGTGGCATGCACGCACAAAGCCTCATGACGTGCGAGGGTTGTAAAGGCGACATGCTTCACAGCCCCCGGAGGTTGGGATAATGGAGTGTGTGTGGCGCAGCATAGGGCGTGATAAGAAATAGCCACGGCATTGCCCCCTTCGGAAAGCATACGGGCGACAGAAGTTTGGAGCACCAGCTACTGAGCAACAGCTGTTTCGAGCTTTCGAGAGTTCCATTTATAAGTCACATGGATTATCCTAACGCATGTACGAACGTGAACCCCTCAAGTGTGCATGTATGCACGACGTTAGAAGCAGCAGCAACAGCAGCAGCAGCAGCAGCAACAGCAGCAACAGCAGCAGCAGCAACAGCAGCAGAGGAGGGCCAGCCCCGTCACCGCAGCTGACCTTGAGGCCCTCGTCATCGTATGGAATGTCGGGCGCGTACAGACGCATCACATGCATGATGCACAGCGCACAATACAGCCGTATTTTCTGCGAGCGCAACGTAAAGGTGGCGGGGATGCCTCGAGTGATTCGCGGGACACAGGGTTTGTACGGATGTGCCTGTGGTGCCAACATGACCGCCGCGATGGAGTAATGGCCGCATGTGAACCTCCATCAAAGAGAGGCGACTTGCACAGTACATGAGAGGTAGGCCCCATAACCCCCCGAAAACACGGCGTAGAGCTGCTTTCCCACCCCAGAAGGCAATGAGTGCGCGTGGATACCTGGGCGTCCTGCGGGCCGCCCTGTCGCCCCTCCGGCGTACCTTGTTTGCGCTCTCAGCTGTTGCATATTGTAAAAGCAGCTGCGGCAGGCTTCCTTTCGCACCGCCCATAGCCTCCACATCCTGAGGGGCTGCCTCCAGTGCGGCCGCCAGTTGCTGTGGCGACGGGATGAAAAATACGTTGTTCAGGTACGTGTCGCAAGAAATACCGTTCATACACCAGGATTGGTTGGCATGGAGCGTTAAAAGCGGCAGATATTGCAGAGGAAGTTTGTCCAGCCGCCGTTAGCTGACCTTAAGCAGCTTGAATAGTGTTTCCTTTCCCTTCCCAGGTGACTTGAGCTTTCCAGCGAGCACTTCCACATCTGGCAGCCTATCCGCATCATCGAACTCATAACCATTATTGTCAGCGACTGGCTGTTTCCTCGCGGGCGGCGATTTCTTGGGCGACATCTACGCAACGTTCGTTTGGCCCTGAATTCTGACCGCAAGCTAGTTCACGCCTTTGCTAAGCAATTAATCCACATCTGCACTGAGACGGAGTTCGACTGCTCCGTCATGCAGTATGTCGGATCCTTGAGAGTTGCACCATTGCCAAGCTGTCGCTCGCAGCTTAAGAACATACATGACCTCTATTTGCTTTATGCTACCCACATGGAAACACCGTTCAGATTTATGGAAGCACAGTTGTTAATGCACGCTTCGCTATTCCCGCTTTCCTTCGTGTGCTGTCGTCCAAAGGCCTGTGTGTCCATCACAGGTTCCAGCTCCATGCCGCATCGGATCAACCCCCTGTCCCACTGCACATCCTGTCCTCTCCTCCTTCTGTGATGTAACTAGCTGAAACCCCAGAACCCGAAGAATAGGTCCTGGACCAGCATTTGTATGACCCGTTGCATCAGGATAAAATGCACGCCATACGCAGATCGTGCAATTAGGCGTTTTCATAATGGCATCAATTAGGTGCCATAGGCGTGATGCGCTGGCTAAAAGCTACCTATTCCATTCCAGCGACTTTTAGCCTTAAGTGTCAACTTGCAGCCGCCGACAGTTCCACGAGCAAGAAATCTGAAGCGTTTGTATCTTTGGGATGAATTCTTAACCAATATTGCAGAATCGAAAAAGTCCATAACTGTTGTAAAAGAAGGCACGGTAACGTGCTGCCTTTTGGGTACCAGCATACTGAAGATAATATGAATTTGGGCAAGCAATCATATGGAACATAGAAAGTCAACCCAGTGAAAAGTACTACATCGTACTACAAATGTTGTGATTCTTCATCTGAGCAATTAATTTCCCGACTTCAAAAACTTTACGTAGTGTTGTGTAGTCACATTTTGTAGTTTGGCAGCACGGCTGTAGGCATTCGTTGACTTACCCGTGTGTTGGGCTTTTTAACTTGGACATAAGGTTTAAGCTCGGTTGTGATCACTTCTTAGGGTTTTATTTTAGAATACGTTGACTGTACAGCTGCTGGATCACCATGTTTTATCCACAGCCGTGAGCGATCGTCCTGAACAGTAGCAGGACCATGGCAAGCAGCACACGCGTTGTCGTTGTGGCCGTGGCGTTCACGGTCGTGGCAACGTTTTACTCTTTAAGCGAGCTCCATCGTATGAGCGCGCTTCATACAGACACGCACACCTTTGCTACGCACACGGGCGACAACCGCGTCCTTCTAGGAGGCAAGATTTCAAATCTTTTGTTTGCGCCTGTGTAATGTTTATGAATCCCAGCTGTGAGCACAGCTGGGAACTGGAAGGCGCGGTCGTTCTGACTTTGCAAGGCGGCCATACGGCATGTTTGTGCAGGTTCAACACACACGACAACCTCGGTTGGCGTCCCCACCACTTCCGCAGCTTCTCCCGTAGCTTCTCCCGTAGCTTCTGTTTCTCCGACCAGTGGAGGAAGCGCATCTACCTCAACTGCTTCTCCGAGGGGGGAAAGCACGTCACAGCACAAGTGCTTCACTTACGAGCATACAGAGTGCGTTCGGTGTTCTATGGTGTGAGCTGCTCGTATGCAGCACAGACTGAAGTCTTTTCTCTTGGCAGGCTATGGGGTGATGTCGTTGCATGGGGGACAACCAATAAGAAGAACTCTGCGGGCGAATGCTGCCAGGCTTGTCTCAACCACCGGCCTCAAGGCGATGAGCCCGATTGCAACGGTATGTCTAGGCAGGCGGCATGTAACCGCGGTGTTGCAGCATCTGTTATTTGCACATACTGACGTTAAGACTTACATCCTGTGCAGTATGGGTCTACTGCGGGAATCAACAGCTTTGCGGCGCGCAGTATCAGCAGTGCTGGCTCAAGCACCTGGTAAGATTGTTCATGTCCGATGCTCAGATCAGCAACCATCGCAATGTAGGCCGGAACCCAGTTACAGCTCCTTCGCTTGGAGGTGAATTCCTTTTGGCATGAAAACCAGGGTTTATCTTGACGATGTATTCGTCTGCCGTTCCCCACGATTGACATTGCAGGCCCATCCGGAGGCTAGCAAACCTGCCAAGCAAGGGCCAAATGTGTACTGGACTTCAGGCACGGTTGACGTGGATATCAATTCAGACCCTGGCGCTGAGCTCGAGGTAATGTACTTTTCGTACGGTTGTGGCGACGGAACTGTAAATATAAGTTCTGTCACACTGCTGTGGGTTTTAAAAATACTAGTGCTTGATTCGTTCTTATGAATGCTTGCCTACTGGGTTGCACACTGCACGCGTTTTAAACATGTCCTGTGCGATTTCGTTGTCACCCTTCCAATAAATATGGGATTGCAGAAGGCTCAGGTTACTGGATCTCCACGCCTGTTCCATACCATTACGTCAGCTCAAGGCTCGGCGGTGCACTGGCAAGTCCGCATCCACTACTACTGGTACGTGCATCGGAGGTCTAAGGGGAGCATGCTTAAGGGGCTTGGGGTTAAAGCGCTTTAGTTTAATCTACCCAACGAACCCATGTGCTTGGGAGCGAATGCAAACTGTCTCGCCTTCCTGGCCGACACAATCATTTTGCGATGTCGTGCATAAGCACTAGCCAAATGCCTATGTAACCAGCCTGTCTACGCATATCTGTATTGGCACTTGAAGCGGGCTGCAGCACGATACCCATTCTCAGTGAATAGTTGTTCCTCTTGCCAGGTCGACCACTATACCACAATACCACCTGCACTTGTCCCTGCTTTATGCCAGGTGGAAGAAGCGGAAGGCTGAGTGTGAGAAGGCGGGGAAATGTGAGATGGGCGGCTTCACACGTCTGCTCCACAGCGGCGCTGCTGACGACCTTATGGATGAGCTGCCGACAGTCGTGGTGGACCCGCTGCCACAGAGCATGGTGGAGCACTCGTGGTATGTCGTGCTCAACAGGCCGTATGCGTTCGTGCAGTGGACGCAGAAGGTAAAGATTCCGGAGAAGTACGTGCTGATGAGCGAACCGGATCACATTTTTCTGCGCCCAATGCCTAACTTCATGCGGGGTGACGCGCCAGGTGAGTCGCTTGGCCTTGACGGATTGCATCGACATTAGGGAACCAGTGGGGCCCTTATACGAGTTCAGGAACTCCGTGAATAGCCACAACAAATGATTTTCATTGAGTTTTGTTACTACAGGTTACTTATAGCGTGTTATTGGACAAATGGGAAACACGATTAATAAAAATTGGCACGTCGCGATTGGAAGATCACCCTGTTAGCTCCCCTAGTCAATTATCCTGATTTACGATGCTACAAATACATACATGAATATCGAAATGCATTACATGCTTTTCGCTCCTGATTTCCTGGTGGTTGCTGTCGTGCAGCGGCTTTCCCGTTCTTCTACATCGAGCCCGCCAAGTCTGAGAATGCGCATATCACACGCAAGTTTGCTGGGAATATCAGCCAGAAGCAGCTGGAGGAGATCGCACCTATTGGCAACAGCCCCACATTCATGACCTTCGACGACATGAAGCGTGTGATGCCCACCTGGATGAATGTCTCCATTGCTGTGTTCAAGGACCAGGAGGCCAACTCGGTATGGGGCTGGGTACAGGAGATGTACGGCTTCACAATCGCCTTGTGGCTCAACGGTGTTAAGCACGTCGACCTGTTCTTGCACATGATGGCACAGCCGCCATGGGACCAGGAGATGCAGATGGGCAACGGCAAGCCCTTCTATATCCTTCATTACACGTACGGCATGGACTACAAGCTGACGGGCGAGTTTACCCCTGGCAAGTTTGGCGAATGGCGGTTCGATAAGCGCACTTACAGCAGCCGCCCACCACCACGCCACCTGGGCGACCCGCCCAAGAATATGAAGAACGATCTTGTACGCACGCTCATCAACTCAATCAACGAAGGTTCGGCAGCTCTGCCTTGTTGGGATATCTATGCGGAGACGGGCAAGGCGTCTTACGATTGTGAAGAGATGAAGACTTTGCCGGATCCACGCTTCAAGAAAGATGGCAAAGCAGTCGCTTGAGACCGTTGGTATGTTTTAGCGGGCTGACATGATGGCGATCATTTATCACATCCTTGAGTTCGTGATCTAGGGTTACGGCGCGTGGGTGACTTGGGGGGCTTGCCTGTAGCATTAGCAATAGCTTGCTGACAAGAAGTGAACAGGGCAATGGTAAGAAGGAAATTTGGCGATCACCATGCACACGGGATTATCGAGTTTTATCGCTGGGCTTAACATATAACTGGACCACGTAAATGGTGAAGTTTTTGACCGTAAGTGTACAGTTTCTTTTAGTACATGCTGGCCTGCCCTGCCTGACTTCGCGCGTTTGTATGTAATGTATTGCGCCAATACGTCCACGGCTTTCCACATCTCGTCGACAGTTAAGTGTGCGGAAACAGTGAACGATCTCGATATTTCGCCGCGGTTTATCCAGAGGTCTGCAAAGTGGTCCTAATCCTCTAATCCAGGGGGTGGGTACCGGTCAGCAATCCTCTAATCTCAACAGGGTTGGACCACTTCTAATTCCTAATCCAGAATGGTGGTCTTATCCATATCCTAGGGGCGGGATTGTAAATCCTAATCCTGGGGCCGGGTCCCAGTCCTAATCCTGGGGCCGGACCGCACTCCTAATAGTGAGGCTGGGGTCCCAATCGTAATCCTGTTGGTAATGTCGTAATCCTTATCGTGGAGCTGTATTGCAATCGTAATCGTGTGACTGGTTTGGTAACCTTAATTTTGGCGGGGGGTCCCCGAATGGTGCCGTGACATACAGGCGCGAGGCGATGGCTATGCAAGTGCGTATACAAAAAAGCAGGTACATGATGAAATGATGTAAAAGAGGAAACCAAAAAAGCTGCACACCCTGACCGTTTCTGCAGTACCGTGCCATATGACACGGCAGGAAGAGTCTAAGCAGGATACCGCGCTTAAACACCTTGTTTCAAGCTTTTGCAAATGCGACTGTGGGGCGGTCGAAGATGAAATGCACGTTTTTACGGCTGAGAGAGGTGATCCAATGGTTCACCATCCACACTTGCAGCGACGCAGAGACCTTCAATGCCATAAATACCAGGGGCTTTTACAGCTATGAAGTAAAACCCGATAAGCAGGGAATATCTCATGAAACGATGTCAACATATGATGCTAGGGTTTGGCACTACTGGTACCTCGCGACCATTGCCCCGGGGAGCTCCCGGGATAGATACCCGTTAGGGTCGAAAATCCTTCTGACGGTGGATGGTATTGCGCTTCTAGTTGATGGACGGTGGTGACCTGGGATAAAGTTAACCTGCGAGCCGACCAGGAATGGAGTTGGGCCGCTGTCGACCCGGCAGATTCCGTTGGATGCTGGTGGTGGGTGCGGAACCTGAGCGATCCACTGAGAAGTTGACTAGGGTGACTGGATGAGGGTGCCCCGAAATACCGGGGAAGGCAGGGTTTCGCGGGGTAGCTGCCACGGGCGAAGATATACCCCCCTGTTTCACACATCATATGATGTCGAGCCTGGCAAAGTTAACATATGCACATAGTCATACAGTTACCGAATTTTAAACTACTTATGTTGTGTAAGTACACATATTCATCGCCACGCGACTGCCTTTGGAAGCGTCCCTCAATGTCGTGCAGTTGGTTCCGGAGGAGACGCGGGGCCTGTACTAATCTTCATCAGAGGTCGGCAAACCCTGAATAACTGTCACGGGTACTGGTGCCAGGGTCGAATAACTGTACGGAAATGTTTTTGGTAAAAGCCGAGGAGAGGTCGTCAATTGACTGTTCGTTATGAGAACCTCTCAAAGCTAGCGTTTACCTCCTTGTAAATTGGAAGGTTTGGTAACCTAATGATGAAGTTTATGGCGCAAACCTGCCTTTTGGGGGGAATTTCTGCACCCTGCCGTACGGCTGCCGTACCAGCGATGAAGAATAGAGTTGAATTTCTGCAACGGGTACAACGTAAGGACCCGCTATACCAGCGGCGTTTGCCGACCCCTGATCTTCATCCAATACCGGAGTTCTAATTCTAATCTTGGATATGCGGTATTTATCCTAATCCTGTGGTGGGCTCCCAATCCTAATCCTGTGGGTGAGGGATCCTACACTCGGGTCCTCATCCTAAACCTGGCCTCAAATTTGTATCCTAATCCTGACCCTATTTCAGCATCCTAATTTCTGCCTGACACGCAATCCCTAATCTTTGCAGACCTCTGGTTCATCTATAGCAGACTCCACTGGATGCTGATGCTGAACCCGGGAAATGATGGATGTTGGTTGAAAGAAGATGCCGGTGGATTATCGGGGCTGATCGGGGTCACGGTTGCCAGGCCACGGTTGAAGGGCCCCTTCTCATGCAAAAGCATACTGTGATAGCAGACTCATGCGACATTAATTACATGTCACGTCTCTGCTAATTCAGATTAACACCCTTCCCTTCTCGAAACAAGATGGCACCCCCGAAGTTAGCCACGCTGCGTTGCCAATATGGACATGCGCAACGTGCATGTCAACGTCGTAAGCAATTGGCTTTTTCTGGCTTGTTTTTATTAGTTGCATACCTGTCGGCGCCATTCCAGATTGAAATCACTATGTATTGTGTTGGCGAGCGTGTTTCACTCTTTCCTGGTGGCCCTACCAAACAAGAGACTCAATCATGCCGACAAGAGCATGTACACATCATACATACATACATACACATTCATCCACGATTCCATACAATCAAAATAATCGCCGTTCAAGCAGCCACGGTGCCTATGACCGTCTGAAGGCACAAAATGATTTCACACCCAGGCAAACGCGTCCCTGTCAGTGATTCTCCTTGACCTTGGCCATAGCAATGCTGGCCAGTAAGTCCTCCAGCTTCTTCTGGTCCGCAGCAAACAATTCGATGCCTTGCTTAAGCTTCTCCACAGCCATCTGAACACATTCGAGAACATGCACACACGAAAGATATCGTACGACACTTCCTCAACCGCAATAGGTTACATACCGATCTGGGGTACTGTGGCACGCGCCAGGATCAGCGAGGACGCTGCTCGGCAACAGGGCAAGCGAAAAAACAACACTTGAAAGATTAACATGTTTATCTGTTGCAATCGTACCGGTTCCAATTCCCCTAGCCGGCCCTCCCTATGCTGACGCTTTTCTTATCTAAACCATGGCCACCCACCTGGTCGGACCCGTGCAGCTTGTTAAACATGTCTTCGTGCATGTTGGATAGCTTCATCACATCGGTGGAGGCCCTGCAGAAGGAATTTCCCAAGCAGGTACGGCCGCACAAAGGACAGCGCTGCAAATGTTCAAAACCACATTGCGTCAGCTGCGCCAGCAGCCACGTTGGAATGCTTAGCGCAATCAGTGTAAAGAGAGGTCCAGAAGCCTAAGCCATCGTGTCCTCCTCCTCAAGATGGCCCGTTGCATTACCTACTACCTGTGCTATTACCTATCTATAAGTGCGTGCTTTGCACAGGCTCCAAACCTCAGCCCTGAATTAACCCACCGGTCGGGACTCAGCTTGCGGTCCAGGGTAGCAGTGCTCTTCTCCAGCTCGTCCAACAGGTTCGGCGAAATGGTGATCTTGTCGCAGCTGCAATGAGCGGGCCGGCGCAGGCACACAAGGAGGAGATGGATTCGAGCCCGTTGCCCATGCAGGACAAAGCGAAATCGAATCAGGGATGCTGGCGGCCTATCGACGGCGGGGTGAAGGTTACGTTTACTCGGCTGCTATGCATATGCCAGCAACGCGGTGAAACCAGACGGGCCACGAGCGTGTGTCGTACTAATCAGATGCGTGGGATTTAGGCCCCACAGAGGAACACGCACTCACCCGGCGAGCTCGCGAATCTCGCCCACGTTGCGGAAGGAAGCAGCCATAACGATGGTCTTGTAATGATGGGCTTTGTAATAGTTGTAGATCCGCCGAACGGACAGGACGCCAGGGTCCTGCGTTCAACGGGCCCACCATCCGACACTTTGGCAACGCCATGAAATGCCGCCAAGCACACAGCGCAGGGACAGTACCAAAGACACATCAAGGCATGTGGCTGCTCCAGTGCACCAACTGCCAACCAACGCTCGTATGAAAAGAAGAACCAGCGGACGAGCCAGCCGACTTCGCGATAACCCCGGTCCAAACACGGGCTACCCTCCTATGGGCAATGGTGCCAGCAGCGCAGCCTTATTCCGCCCCAACCTATCTGCACCAGGTTGCGATAGGTTTTTTGCTTCCGCTTCTGAATATGGCTTACTTGTCACCGGCGGCCGTGGGATTCATCATCGATACCGGGGGTAGGACACGATACATGCACATGCAATCGAAAGCTTCGCGCATACACGCACTCATACCTCGCTGGGGGCGAAATCCCGGCCCTCCTTGGCCTTGTACCAATCCATGATGCGGCCCACGAACGGCGAGATGAGGGTTGCACCTGCATCCGCACAAGCCGCCGCCTACAAAGGAGATTGGGGGATGGTTTTTTTGCCAAGATCAGTGACAATACGCAACCGTATGCAAATCGATGGGAAACAACGAGAGACATCGAATGATCACGATAATAATTTGTCCACAATAAGAAAAGCCGTTGACACGCCCACCTGGGCAAATGAGAAGAGCAGCGTCATGTTACAGTTGATTCCTTGGCGCTCAAGGCGGCGACACGCCTCAATGCCCTCCCAGGTAGAGGCCAGTTTAATGTAAATACGTGAGGGATCAATGCCGTGAGCCGCATACAGCTCCATTAACCGCAGAGCCTTGTCAACCGTCGCCTGCGGAAAGGAGGCGTTCGGGTAAAAGGGCACTGCTTACAGGAGGTAAAAATGACGGGCAATTGTGTCTGGTGATTCCTGCAGCACCAGCATTTCATGGTTGCACGCCCATTCGGGTTGCAACAAGATTCGGTTGCCACGAGTCGCAACGAAGGATACCGTGCGCTGGGAGCCGCGGGTAAAAGGCGACTTAAGACGCATAACCCATCCCAGCCATCTCCCGCTTACTCCACAGTCGCACTTCACCAACAGACACGGCAGAACCCCCCGCTCCTCCTCCACCATGCAATACAACGCCCACAACCTTTGTATGGCGGGCCGTACCTGCATGGAGTACGACAAGTGAGCGTCCACTTCGGTGGACACCCGTCCGGGTACGACCTTAAGCAGCTCGCAACCCAAATCAACAGATAGCTGGTCGGCAACTCCTGTACAAAAAGACGCGTTTAGGAGGGCAAAGGCAAAGGCAAAGGCAAAGGCAACTCTTCATAAGCGCGTTGCTGCTGCGAGAGGAGGATGGTTCCTTTAGTACTGGTGTTCGTGAGGACCGAAGACAGGTTTCGCTCACCGCTACACGTAAGAGAGAGTTGGAAAATGCACAACTTGAGGGTAAAACCTAGCTGACACAGCGTCATGCAAAGCTCTTGAGCTCTTAAAGAGCTGCTGACATCGTAAAAGGATAAGGACAATTCTTCCCAGCTGCTCATGTACCGGAGCCGCATGTGCAACAGAGCTGTACCCGGGGTGGACGCACCACCCGCAGAGGAAGACGATGCCATGGATGCGCGGTCTAGAGCTCATGTTCCTCTGGATCTGTATCCAGCCGCACAGCTAGCGCACCTGAGTACGGCCGTACGACGCCGGGTTTGGCATGCTCAGGTGACCGCTTGTCCTGCGCCAGAGCCTTTTCTAGGTAGTGCCGGTTCTCCGGCATGGAAAGGGCCTTGTACACGAGGCTGGGATTGGTGGTACAGTCATGCGGGTGGTACTTCTTCACCAGCTCCAGCTCACCCTTTGGAAGGAAAGTTGGAAATAGGAAAGGGAATTAGTAACTGCTGCTTAGCATGAAACAGAAGACGACGGAGGAAGGGGACGCAACGGTTGCATGAATTGCCCAAGGACGAGACACCCACCGTATCAGCAACGACCACCGACATGCTTTTGAGAGCTTCGAGTTGATTGTGAAAAATCGGTTGGGAAGGCTTGGCAGAAGGGCCCGAAGGCGGGGCCTTCTCTTCGAGGTATGCGCATGCCGAAATGTTGCGTACGCAGAGAGGACGAGGAGCTGCGATGACAGGCGCATCTCCGCGCAGAAGCACCCGCCCTGTCGCTGGTTGGCTGCGGAGGAGAGCCATTTGCTGTTGTGCCGTAAGCGATGGAATTTACCTGTCGCCTGCACAAAAATCAATGGCGAAGATTTCCCACTCCGTGGTTAATTGCCCTCGGCAAACTTGTCTTCGTACTTATGTCTGCAGCAGGTGTCTGTTCGGGAGGGGATGCACTCGGAGAGCGTCCTTTCCGCTTTCGGAAGGTCCGAAACGGGAACCAATTGTCGTTGGGTTCAGAATCTCACGAATCGCCAAGAAAGGAAGAAGTCTTGTGTACGTATTATAATTCTTCATTCTGACCCCTTTATGTTGGTTTTGTCAGCACCACTGAACTGTCGTCAGCACAACCGCTATCGTATTGCGCGTCAGTTGTCATCTTTTCATAACTGCGAGTAACGCTTTCCGTTGACACCCATGCATATCTGGCAAAGTTCATTAAGGGAAAATAATCCGAACTGCAGCGAGGGGTACTGTAAGTGCTGGCTAACTGCTGCGCAGTCTATAACTACCTGACGGTGAACATAACTCGAAAATGTGCTTGCAGCGATCCCGGCTTGTTGTGGCAAAGCGCTCGGCATTAGGCATTCAGCTTTTGCAACCTGACTGACCTTGCAAGGTGGCAACATCTTATTCCCAATGTCCAAGACGGAACCGCATTGATGCCATGTCATGCTTTCGTGGCATACAGGTGCCCAACCATTATCAAATGTAATGAGATGCTTGGGCAACCCCCATGCATAATCATGATTTTAAATGTCAGGTTTTGGCATATCGGTGGCCAGGTCGGTGTACGCGCTCTCCCCCGTTTCCCGCTCCAAGCTCTTGGAAACCTTAGGATATGAGCTGGCTTCTTATACTGACAGGCAGTGGGCCAAGCCAGCCATAGTGTCCACCCCGGTGAGCCAAACGGTTTGTTTTCCTGCGACGGCGGTCCAGGGCCGACCGCCTGTGCAGTGCCGCCGCCGCCGAAAAGCGCCACCAATCGTGGTGTAAACAAATAAATTTCCATGACATTGAAATTTTCACATTTGACGCCGCGGGGAAGCCTTTTTCCGCGGCCGAAACGGTAGGTTTTATAGGTTGAACCTAGTGCGTGCGTAAGCACCTCTAGAGCATCCTTTAGAACATTACCCAACGTTTTCAGTACCTTATGTTGGTGCGAAGAGGTGCGGTGGTGCCCCGTGGCCTGTGAAAGGCCGCACGCCAGGCTGTTGCGAGTGGCAGCTGTCAGGTGCCAGAGTACTGACAGGCCACCCGCAGGACAGGCTACCCAAGCCTTAAGCCCCTGCTGTAACGGCACCTCAGACGCATACGTTTACGCGCCCAAGCAAGGGGCTGTCGGTGGCAGGTCGCGAACCTCCTGACTACGTGTAACGGCCAGTTGAGTCAAAGTTGCAGCCACAACCATGGTAAAGGAATGAGAAGCCAGCATGCGATTACCTAGCCGGCAAATGCATCTGTCGGCTACTGCGCAAGGGCTGGCTTTGTCTGCAACAAGCGCCTGAACTGAACGGAACGCGTTTCACGGTATAACGGCTCAATACGATATCGCATCAAGGTGCAACCAGGGGAAGCGGGGCCTGGGTGCGACATGTCGCCGGTAGCACGAGTCGGCTTTGTGTCGGTGAGGAAGACTACACAGAACACGCAGGCACTTTCAACCGGCAGGCAAACAAGTACATAAATCAGGCATAGCCAGCATTCGCAGGTGCGGGCGGAGGCCAGCTAAATTTGTCGCGGACGACATGGCTATGCGCCGCCGGCCGGGGCAACCTTCGCAAAGCATAGTCGCAGCCATGCATTCCATAGGGATGTGCCATGGCGTTTGGCGAGTTGCTGCAGGCCCCGCGCGGCGGGTGGGACCAGCGACGGATAGAATTCTCGAGGGCCTTGTACATTGGCATTTTTCTCCTGTAGGGACTGTACGGCTTTAGGACAAGTCGGGTTTCGGCTTCCTCGAAGCCGGAAAAAGGGCGGGGCCCCCCTGCATCCGTACAGGCCGGTAGCTAGCGCGGCACGTGTGACAATTGATGGGTAGTGTCAACGCGGTGGGAGATGTGCTTTGTTGCAGCAGTGCTGATGGTGTGAGAGCTAAGCTTGCACCGGCGGAATCGTCAGCACCGCCTGCGGGCTTCACGCGAATCGCATCCATCCCGGGTGCATGCCGCATGGACAGTGCGGCAGACCGCAAGTCGGAATGCCCGTGCAGGCAAATGGTAACGAAAGCTGGGTGAATTTCGGTGCTGTCTGTGATGTTTATCCCCGAAGCGCCAGCGGCCTCAGCAATCCGCCCCACAGCCGCGGGCTTCATCGGGGCACACCGCAACTCTTCGGAGGCCCCGTGCATTGGCCAAAGTACATGTACAAACAAGCAGCTTGTGTATTTCATAAAGAAATGAAAGCAAATTATGTTGGCCTGCTGGTGGCAAGTCGGATTGCCCATGCCGGCAAATGGTAACACAAGCTGGGTGTTCGAGTTATCATACGCAGCTTTCGGGATGAAATTCAGCGCGAGAGGCGTTGATGTGACTTTGGCCTCGGTCAATTGAGGCAGCCAAACTTGTTTGTGCTCATACGATATTTGTTGGCTACATGCGAGATACCTTGCAATAGAGAATGCTGTATAGTACCTATAACGCGTTTCAGCCGGGCGAGATATTATGTTTGGTCCGTTACACACACGCACACACACGCACGCACACACACGCACACACACGCACACACACGCACACACACGCACACACACGCACACACACGCGCACACGCACACACACGCACACGCACACGCACACGCACACGCACACGCACACGCACACGCACACGCACACGCACACGCACACGCACACGCACACGCACACGCACACGCACACGCACACGCACACGCACACGCACACGCACACGCACACGCACACGCACACGCACACGCACACG